GGTGGGGTGGGGGGGAACCCCAAGGGGTGAAACCTTGCCCCCCCCCCACCCCCGGAACCTTTTTTTTTTTTTTGGGTTTTCCCCCCAAATAAATGGAAAGGAGGGGGGGTTGCCCACCCCAAGGGGCCCTGGGGGGGGGGTTTTTTGGGGTTTTTTTGGAGTTTTTTTTTTCCCTCCCAAGGGGGGGGGGGGGGGAACCCCTGGGCCCAGTGGGGTTTTTTGGAGGGCCAGGGGCCCCAAAAAACCGGGGCCCCAAGGGGGGCCCCAAAAAGGGGTTTCCCCCCCCCCCAAAACAAAAACATTGTTTCCCGGGGCCCCCCCCCCCCCCCCCATAGGCCCTCACTCACCCTTCCAGCTCTACATCGGAGTCGCTCTCGTCTTCCTCCTTGCCCTCCTCCACGCCTTGCGCTCCCGCCCCCGCCTCGGACATCATGGCGTCCTCAGCATCCCCGTTCTCTACAAACCCGTTGGCGTCCTCAGCACCCCCAGCAGGCGAGTTTGACGACAGGCCACCATCGTCTCCCGACTTGGCGCTGCCTACTTCCATGGGGTCGTCCTCCCCCGCGGCCGCCGCGGCTCCACCAGGAGACAGCGCCCCGTTGCCCATCGGGTCTACAGCCGCAGGAGGCGTTCGGCCGGCGAATTCCTCCGCCATGTGTTGAGGCGGAACAGCCTGGCTCCAACCGTGCAGGTGTATTTAGCTTCTTTGTTGTCGATGTCAAACTCTCTGATGCCATGGGGAGAGAGAGGAGGAAAAGCGATCACAGGTAACCACAGCACACACACGGGGGCAATCCCCTTTTAGTTGAGAGAACCTCTGTGGTTGAGATAAACAGGGGCGGATTTTTGAACGAAATGTCGATCAAGAAACGCTAGTATACAACACCTCAGCCGTGAAACCAAGCCAACACGATCATCTGTGCCCTGTGTAGTAGTAGGCTGCGCCTGAAGGTAGCGACGAGATAAGGAATTGCTCGTCCAAACCAAAATTGACGATTCATCACGGCCGGCCTGCCCCAACCGCTGTACGCCGCTGCCGACAGCAGCAAGTGGCTGTTTGGTTTTAGGCGCATTTACGTCTGAAGCAACACTATCTTCGTACTACTGCTGTTACAGCTGCCAACAGCAGTAGATAGCAGTAGCGGTTTGGTTATAGGCGGCAAATTTACGGCAGCACACGGAAGCATCGTCCATGTCTTGCGTCCTGTTACAGCTAGCAGCGCTTTGGTTGGTAGGCGTTTCTACGGTTGCAGGCGAAACATCAACGTCTTCGGTGTTGTGGAAAGCACGCACACCACGCACTGCTGAAACAATAAACCCTGTGTACATACCGTATCCGGGACGGCAGCTCGAATATCGATTTTATTAAACTGCGGACAGATAGTAGGATGTCCCAATGCCATCCAGCGCTAGCAGTGCATACACTGGCCGCAGGTTCGACCCATCCCTCGTGCTAAAACTATCTACTGCTGTAACTGCTGCTGTAATCGCTCTTGGCTGCATCCGCCAACGGGAATGACGAGTGCGATTTTCGAAAGCGGGGATCCTGGGAGGGCTTCTCCCGTGGGTATCTCACACCATGATGCGTCTTTTCGAACGGCCGCCACTGCTGTCGGCGTTTGAAAACGGGAACCAACACCGATAGGGGTGCTCGTTATGTACCGCAGTAACATCGCGTGTGTTCCAAGTGGGACAAAGAAGGGAGAGGGAAAATCTCTTGTGTTTCAGAGGGATAGGTCAATCCGTCCCCCGAATATTTGCGAGGGGGACACGGGCTTGGGCACCGCGCTGAAAGCCAGGGCCATGACAACAAGACACAGCAGTGACTGCTGTAACCGCTCTCTCTGTCGATCAAGAACAAATCGCGCATCATGACAAGAGCAACAACGCAGCAGCTGAGTGTACCCCAAAGAGGGTCGGCCGGAAGGGCTCGCCACGTAGCCACCACAGGTACAGGGGTGACGGCATGGAATTGAAGGAGAGAGGGTCCACGCCCGATACCCAAGGATCCCGCGACGAAGCACTAGCCTCGGTGTAGGCCGCCAGAGTAACCAGGGGGGGGAGGTTGCCCAAGGCCAATAGCACTAACGCCAATATACCTTTTTGTGCGATCCCACAACGCAACCCCCGCCCACAACAAAAAACTTAGACAGTTTTTCGCGCCATGCAACAAAAAACTTAGACAGTTTTTCGCGCCATGTTGTCTGCGCCCCGTTGCTTGGAATACACTCTCAACCTCCGCCAACCACGATCGCACACCACCAGCACCATATACACAACACGAAGACACTGATGCTGTTGCTCTCACCTCTCGGAAGCTCTTCTCCTGTTCGATATCTCTCGCGACACAACAGACAAGCGGACGACAGATGTCCAAGATGTCTGCTTGGGGGGTGCGCAGAGTATATTCATCATTCGTATAATGCACCCCAGGGGTTTCCACCAAGAATGATATTGCGGAGTCTCTCCTGCCTGCCACCAAGCAGCTGGCAGACACACAGCAGCAGGCGAGGACGGCACAGCGCCACACCTCGAGATAAACGACCGCACAGTGCAAACGGTGGTCCTGAGTGCAGCTTCGTCTTTACTTCGTTACACACGTCGCGCGGCGCTACCATGGTGAGAGGAAGAAAAAACGTGTGTGCGACCAAGAGGACTTTTTGCGAGATCTCTCGTCCGTGCTGCCTCTCTGTCATGCTCGGTCTTTCGCCGATCCTTGCGCAGGTTGCGTGTTTGCAGCATCACCTCTGTGTGACAGCATTTTGAAGCATTGAGAATCTGTGGCAACGATGCCTCGTGATCAATTGCAGGAGCAAGCTAGAGAGTAGCGCGTGTGGGTCTTGCACGAAAGGCTGCCGAACTGGATGTTTTTTTACCGTATACGGCAGTGTGTGTTTACCCCAGGAGCTTGCTCTGTGATACATGTGCGTTAAATAGATATATCTACAAGGCTTGTTGGCGGCTTACGCCGCCACGCTGAGAGAAGCGTACCGCAAGACGAATCTTACTTGGTGTTTGATGCGCGATGTTAGTCGGCGTTTATTGAATAGGACCTTCCTTTGTGGCATGCCGTGGCTGTGAAATTCCCGTGAAGTACGTTCCCATGAAATCAGATAACGAAATCACATTCAGATTTTGTTGTAAGACCGGAAGATCCAAAGAACTCTCTTGTTGACTGGCTGAAAAGTTATGGAACCCGTCAAATCTTTAGGACTTAAAACAGGACGACCCAAAACCAAATCGGGATTTGATTAGGGCCGGTCTTAACGAAGGAATCGGTTCCCGATTTCACTTCCCGATTTGATTGTGAGACCACAAGATCCAAAGAACTCTCTTGTTGATTGGCTAAAAGTTCTGGAACCCATGGAATCTTTAGGACTTACAATCGGATCCCCCTCTCCAAATCGGGAATAAAAAAAAAGGTAAAATGATTTAATCGGATCCCGATTTGGGTGAAACGAAACCAACTTCGAACATTAGCGGTCCAGTCGACGGCAAGTGACGCACTGACGCAAAGAAAGTAGTGCCGTGGCAAGGCGCCACACCAAGCCGCGACACCAATCCAGCACGGAGTGCGCACAGGCACACCCACGGTGGGGCACCTTGTTGCGCAAGAGCAGTAGAGGAAGAATGTCCTATTCGCAAGGCGGGGGGCGTGACCAGGAGCATCACCAGCATCCTCAGCAGCAGGGGCAGCGGCAGCACCAGCAGCAGGGGCAGCGGCAGCACCAGCAACCGTCGCCAAGCTATGCACCAATCGCTGCAGGTTGGTCCTCCGTCCCACCACAGCAACACCAGTCGCAGCAGTCTTACCACTCGCCTGGATCCAACTGGGCTCCGTTCTCTGCGGTTGGAGGACCGCGACAGGATTTCGCATCGCTGGGTGTGCATCCCATACGCACCCAACAGAGCATGTTCCCACAGAGCAGCCACTTGGCTGCCCCTCCACCGCTGCCGCCGCGGTTGATGTCGGCGGCTCTGCCGGCCTGTTCGGCTTCTTCGTACGTGTACAAAAGGAGAAACGATTTCCAACAAAAAACTCGTTCGTACTTTCATCGATAAGATACACAGGCCATTTCAGGTCGGATTTAGGTAGATCCGACTCTTGTATTCTTATAACCAAATTCGAAATCGGGAACCGATTTCTTGGTTACGACCGGCCCTTAAGGGTTGTTTGCATGCATGCGAGAAACGGAGATAAACGAAGCCAGCCCTGAAAAGATCCCGGAGAGAGATATGACATTCTTGTAGATAAGCATGTTCGGCGCGCACATGCGAGATCCCAGAGAGACGAACGCGTGTATTTTGAAACATGTGAAAGTCCGACTTGTCAGAGAGCAGACTACTGCCTGCCCGAAAGAGAGAGAGACTGGCCTAAAGCTCTGTGAGAGGCGCAGTTAAACGATGAGATGTATTTGTTGTGGTGGGTGGGGAGCAGAGGAAAGCGCCTAATAACGGTTCCTTCCTCCAGCGAGCGAGAAATAGCGGGAAAACGGAATGAACATAACAAAAAAAATGCCAACGGGAAATGCATCTGGATGTTAAAAAAAAAAACCTCTACATTCTGCTGTGGGTGTGGGACATGTGAGAGGGAGAGACAGACTGCTGTTGTTGTGTAAGAGGGGAGAGAGACTGGCGGCACGAAATAATGTGACGTGTGTGAAAGGGAGAAATGTTCCGTGCGACCGAGCCGGGTGTGATGAAGGAGCCAGACGCAATGAACGATGAGACATGAGAGAGAAACGGTGAACGAAAGAAAACAACAGCGAGCTCCAAAGATCCGGAACAGATGGAAACGAGGAAATGGAGCGCTGTGAGAGAGCCCGAGAAGACCCGAAATGGAGAGCCCTCTCAGCGTAGATCCAGACAGACGGAGAGGGAAGCGACAGACAGTCAGACCTAGTGCCTCGTGTGAGTGGAGAGCCGCAAATAAATGTGCGCAGCGGAGGACAGAGCGACAGACGTCGTGTGATCGAAAGCCAGAAGGACCGGACCATCTATCTAGTCAGTAGTCTATCTCAAAGAGATCAGCATAGACTATGTAGTGAATACTTGCCTGCGTTTGCTTGGAAGAACCTCTGCTTGGAGATATTGGATGGACCACGCATGCATTGGGACACGCATGCATTTATTGAGAAAGCACGATGCCGTTCTTTGCTGTTCTATTGGAAAGCACAACAGCGTGTCATCGTGTATACACCCCAACGGAACACGAAGGACGTCTGCGCGGGGCGGCACGAAGAAAGGAGAGGGGAGAACACCGAAAAGCTGTGGCAACAGGAGGAGCGAATGGGAAATATCCCCGAAAAAATCGGAGGGATTGTAGAGAGCGATAGACAGAGAGAGAGGGAGGGAGAGAGAGAGCAACAAGGAGAACGAAAGAGACCGAGACCAGAGAGAGACAAAGCGAGAACTACTACTGTGTACTGCTCTAGAAAGCACAGCGTGTTATACAGCTGAGAGAGTGTAATCATCAGAAAGAAATCCGGAACGGACAAAAATTGTGGCCTCTACCACTACGCAGAAGAATCTCATTATATCTGTGTGGGGATGTGTAAGCTGAGGAGAGAGAGGGAGAGAGAGAGAGAGAGAGAGAGAGAGAAAGGGAGACAGAGAAAGAGACAGACAGGCAAACAGACAAACAGATGCGAGGGAGAGACAGAGACAATCTGCAGAGCAAGAGAGACTTCGTGTGTACTACGCGGCTACGCGGCTGTGTGCTGTGTGGAGCGAGCGTGCGATCGACAAACCGAAACGGAAAAACATCCCGCAAGAGCCCACTCTAAATCCATGTTAGATTTTGATGGGAGAAATGGCGAGTTGCCAAGCGGCCGAAAATTCGAGTTGGCCGGGAGCGGCCCCCTGGAAATGCGGCGCGTGGAGAATGGAGATCTCTTGGCAGCAGGAGAGGCGTTGAAGATGTCGACGTGTACATATACACGTAGATAGGGAGGGTGTTGGTAGGCAGTGGAGGGTGCTGTCGGCGGAGCAAGAGGACGGGGGGTGCGAGCGCGTGTGCGAGGAAGAAAGCGAGATAGCTGCGCAAGTTGCCGAGGTCGGGAAAACGGAAAATCGGAGAACGCAGGCGGAGAATCTTGCAGAAATCCCTGACGGGCCCGTACTTACTTTATGATGCAGGGTGGGAGATACAGGGAGACAGCAGAGATGATCTCGTGTGATCGCAAAGAAAGGAGTGCGTGAGATCTAGACAGAGAGCGAAGCGACAGAGCAATAAACCTGCCTGGTGTAACGGGAAGAGCCGCAAAGGAGTGCGTGAGTTAGACGGACAGCGAGCGAAGAGACGACCGACAGACACATGTATGTGCGATCGGAAAGGAAGCGGAAGCATCCAGTCTATCTGAAAAGAGTCCGGTGTGTGGAATTGCAATCAATTCCGTCAGAGCATGAAATTCAAAAGTGAGCTGGGAGGTATGAGAGACGAATAAATAGAAGAGAGAGGGAGACAGAGGAAGAGAGAGACAGAGAGAGAGGCAGATAGAAAGACAGACACACAGACACCGAGAGAGACAGGGCGAGAGACCAATAATAGTAGTGGAGAAAGTGGAGAACAGAATGGTGGTTTGTGAGGGCCCGAAAAATCGGAATAAAAAATCGGAAATGCTGCTCTCACAAAGCCCGAGAACTCGGAATGCTGCGCTCTCCGTGGCCCACGGCGGAAAATGAATGGAACGTTTCTAGAGAAATCAAAACTGATATGACTGTTATGTAGTCCTGTTTTCACAAGTACTCTTGATGTTATCCGGTGTTGCTTGACGATGTTGCCGTCTGATGGGTCGTCTAGGATTCATCGTACGGCGCTTGCGCTGCCCACAGTGCGCTTACCTATTGCTGTATGTTGCATGTGGACACATGTCGCGTTGCCGTGAGTGGTGCTGCTCCTTCCTAAGATCTACAAAAATATACTTCGAAGTATGTAACAAGACCGTTGATACATTTTTGGTTCCACCGCCCACGAAATGTTGCGTTTCGTGTATGTACGTACGAACGTGTGCGCCGCTCGTCCTGTTTGATGACTGATGCATGATGGTCAAGGTATGTATGCAGACTACAGGTATGCGGACCTCCTCATCGGCGTTAAGATACGCAGAAAACAGCCTAATTCTTGGCGTGAGTGAGTGTCGTACAGCGCACCTCATTTGCAGGTGCTGTGTATGACCCGGCAGCGATGTACGTTTGTTAAGCGGCCAACTGTACTGGGGTCGTTGAGTATGAAGGTCGTTTGTGTCCGAGTTTTACAACGGTGTCCTATCATAGTAGCATGTTTGTCGCCTTTGACTTGATTTCGAAAGGAAACGGAGGGACTTGAGCCTGGACGAGGAGGCGTGCATGACAAGGTCGGAGCCGAATAATTAACTTGCACGTGGTTCGCCCACGCAGTTTTGATTGAAACTGGGAATAGAGGGGGGTTCGCAACCCCTAACCCTACCCCGTACCCCCTAACCCTAACCAAGCTCAGTATCCTCGCAAAGGCCACAGTACTGCCGATATTCAACCTTGTTTGATTTGCATGTAACTGCCATATCTGCCGGTTGCCGGTGTCCCATTTCTCGCGTCAGGCGGCTACATCGAAGCGCGGAGGCGCCAAGTCGAAGAAGTTCGAGCTTACGGAGGAACAGAAGCAGGAGATCAGGGAAGCCTTCGATCTCTTCGACACGGATGGATCCGGTGAGTTACGCAAGGCCGTTTTTGCCCTTCCCCGGCATGTGGCTTTCGAGGACGCTTGGTCAATGGTCCAACCGCTAAGGCATGCAAAGCATAAGAGTACGCCCCCCCGCTGGCATGTGGCTGCAGCAGTTCCGAGTTCCGGTTACTGCGTTGTCTGCAGCAATTAAGATTGTCAACACACACATGGACGTCTCCTCGTTGCTGTATGTATCATCGATCCTTGCCGACGTGATTCGTGCGTATGTGCCATCGCGATTGTGTGCACACATGCAAGATCCGGTTCTCGAGGAGGAGGCTGAAAAATGTCAGATTAACTCAGTCACATAAGGTCAATCAGCAACTATTTCGCCTCCAAATTTCCAAATCCGAAGACGATAGAACCTTGATTTGCGGCCAATGAAGGATTATTTTTGGATAGCTGGAAAACTGCTGGCACAAAAAAAGTGGGAACGATTTGCTTCCAAATTTGGAATTCTGCGAAGTCGGAGTATGGAAATTTGGAAGCGAAACAGCTGTGTTTAAGAACGCCCCTAGGCAAGGATGACTGACTTGCTACTGCTTGCTGTCCTTGTTGTCCTTGTTGTCGTTTCCGATGTTGATATCCTACCTACGGGAAGGGTTTGGGTTGCCAAGATCTGGTCACCAAAAGATCGGACAAGCTACGTGTCACATCTGCAGAAGAACCGAACCTTGAACTGAATACATATAGTACAAAGATACTCACTTTTATTATTGCGAGACTTCAAGCCATCATGCCTTTTGACTGCTGTGGTATTATCTCGAACGAGTAGTCTCTCTTGGATTCCACGGAGTATGCAATTTTCTAAAGAGATTATTTTGATACCACCACTCAGGCCCTGGCTGCTATTGTCCCAGCAAGCACACCGACCGCCGTGAAACCTCTCGTAGCGTTACGCGGCCGGCGGCTGATTGTGTTTGGGCAGAACAAGAGGTTGACAGCAGTTACACATGGAATGGGTTGAGGAGGTATATGTTAAATTTGTCAAGAAAAGTACGGTGGACAAGAGCTTGCACCCCACTACAACGTGCTTTCGACGTTGACACCATCGACCGACCACTTTTGTCCACGTCCAATACGATGGAAAAAAAAATAAAAAAAACACACACACACAAGAAAGCACTCCAAACCGAACTAGAGTGCAAGGTAACAGCCTTGGTAGACGCGTGCAGGTTTCTTCTGTTGCTACCGTATCTGTCCTTGATCCGGAGGAAAGTTTAGCCTCCCCCATGCTGCCCCGTCACGGGGTCCCAGTTCATGGCAGACAGAAGTGTTTTGTGTTTTCAACTGCACTAAGACTGACGTCTTTTCATTGGTCAGCTTAGCGCGGTCGATGCTATTTAATAATAAAGACACACACACATGCACACAACACAGGGACCATCGATGCGAAAGAGCTGAAGGTGGCAATGCGAGCGCTAGGCTTCGAGCCCAAGAAGGAAGAGATCAAGAAAATGATCAGCGACATCGACAAGGACGGTTCCGGAACGATCGACTTCCAGGAGTTCTTAGAGATGATGACGTCGAAGATGGTGAGTGGTCGGGCCGGACGTAACGGAAAAATGATCTTGATTATGCTCTTGATTATGTCGAGAGGGTGAGTGGTCGGTAAGGACGTGGGACGTAACGCCATACTTGTAAAAATTTTCTAAGTGATGTTGATTATGTCGAAGATGGTGAGTGGTCGGTCCAGACGTGGGACGTAACTCCAAATAATTTTTCCAAAAGATCTTGATGACGTCGAAGATGGTGAGTGGTCGGTCCGGACGTAACGGAAAAATGATGTTGATGATGTCGAGAGGGTGAGTGGTCGGTAAGGACGTGGGACGTAACGCCATACGTGTAAAATTTTTCTAAGTGATGTTGATTATGTCGAAGATGGTGAGTGCTCGATCCGGACGTGGGACGTAACGCAAAAAATAATGTTTTAAGAGATGTTGATGATGTCGAAGGTGGTGAGTGGTCGGTAGGCGTGGGACGTATCGCCCAAGGGATCCTGGAAGGTAGTCATTCGGGTCTTTTTCCTTGGCCGAAAATATTGAATCGCAAGCGCTCTTCTTGTTTTTGTCATGCCCCACCTGCCTGAATGTGTGTGTGCGTTTTTTTTCCCTTCTTCTTAATTGCATTGCACAACAAATCCATCTCTATCCATAGATGAGGGTCTAGGATAGATTAGAAATGAATTCATTGCGTCAGCGAAAGCACTTCCTTTTGTTTGTTGCTGCCGTTTCAGAGCGAGAAAGATTCGAGGGAGGAGATCCTGAAGGCGTTTCGGCTGTTCGATGACGACGAGACCGGCAAGATCTCGTTCCGCAACCTCAAGAGGGTGGCAAAGGAGCTGGGGGAGAATATGACGGACGAGGAGCTGCAGGTATTGCTTGTGACTCATCCCATTAGACTAGACAAACTAACTATTAGTCAGCGTTGACGGCAATCTAGCGGTTTGATTTCGAGTTTCTACAGCCCTCGCCCTTCGTTTCCGAAGAAAGACAAGGCGGGCTTCAGAGTCTGGCCGAGGCTACCGCTGTTGATACTATTTCCCAATCCACCACACCCCTGTGGGTAACCTAGCCAATGCTGTATGATCTGTTGCTGCTGTTGTTGTTGTTGTTGTTGATGGTGGTGTGGTGTTGAAACATTCGGCGCTAGACGTCGAATCAAGCGTACCTGTCGAGCAAAGCCAGACCACCCGAGGTTGCCTCTTTGAGATTAGGCAAAACAAAAAGATGGATCAACGACACACGAAGCGCACCTATATCAGAATGAGGCTGCGCTTGACCCGGCAGTGCGCTCATGAAGTTTACGACCGCTGCTCATGTAGGCTGGTATCCTTTTTCCTCTCTCGTGGTCGGGTATCTGATATATGTAAATATATGTTTTTTCCAGAGTTATCGAAGAGGTTATAACTACCAACACACCGAATGACCCGAAACGAAAGTACAGAAAAACCGCATGGCCTGAATCACGACCCGCCATTGACGGCAGGTAGCGCTGGTTCCTATGCGCGTGTCCCCCTGTCGTTTTCAGCTTCGTATTTTGGGAAATATGCATCCCATCAAAGAAAAGAGAATTTTCCGTTCGAGATAATACTGTTACCACAGCAGTCTCGAAGGGGATGGGTTTGAAGTCTTCATATGTAGTGAGTAGTAGGAAGAAGAAGATAGGTTGGACAATGATCGGTTCCGTTTTTTTTTTTTTCATCCCATTGCATCAGCGCTCACAGCTCACGACATTTTTCCCGGGTATGTACGGGTAGTTGTTTTTTTTTTTTTTTCCGTTTTGGATAGAAAAACAAATCGCCCCTTGGACTTGGAGGAATATTTTTTGGTGTCCATTTTTTTTTTTTTTTGAAAGGTGTACCCCCCCCCCCCCCTTTGGTGGGGCAGTGGGCTTGTGACCATGGAAGGCGTCCGCGTCAGTTGTACTGTTATAGTATAGTATAGTATAGTATAGTACGGACATTAGAAGGTACTGAGCAGAGACCGGAACGTTTTTCTTTATGTGAAGACAACAACAACAACAACAACAACAACAACGACTAGCTATCTATCTGCAGTCCATGGTCAGTCACACAGATGGGTTCCTCTCCCTACCCACCCCTTCCGGCAGTGCTTACCTTCGATTTCTAACGCGACACTCAGCAGACGTCCCTGTTTCGTGCCGGTACTGTATGTGTTCAGAAAATCCACCATCCACCTTCACTACTTGTACCGGACCGGCACTATTCAAAGCATTGAGGATAAATTAACATGGAAATTCAGTGTATGCCCGCCGAAAACACTATACCGGCACTATACCGGGCACCGGCACTATTCAACCGGCACTAAATATGGACCTCAACTGTGCCACATGCTGTAATATTTAATTCTCCCTTTGTGTTGGTGGTGGTTGCTCGGCAGGAAATGATCGACGAAGCCGACCGGGATGGAGACGGCGAGATCAACGAGGAAGAGTTCTTGCGGATCATGAAGAAGACATCGCTGTATTGAAAGAGAGACGTATGCATTGCATGCTGCTGCAGTAGTTTTCGATCTCGTCTCATGTCGCTTTCTCTTTCTGCTAATGAATTTGATCGACTGCGGTATGTAGTTTTTCATCTTTGGATGTCCTCTCACATCCTTTTTTCTTGTTCCACTTATAAAACGTAGACAAACGCAGTTTTCATGTTTCGACCTCGTCTCATGTCGGTTTCTTTCTTCTCTTTTGTTTTTATATCTGGGCTATCAATCAATGTGTTCGGTCCGGTGGACGAAGAAGAAAGTATGCTACCTGTACATAACTCGACGGCGATTTGATACTGCTGTGTTGAGGCGATGTTCTAGGTGGTGCAAGACCTGACATCGTTTGGGTATCGAGATCTGATTGGGCAGTACACCAGTTGTGCTTGGTGATGCAACTTCAACACTGGTTTGATTTGATTGGACGAGCATGGTAATAGTGCGGAGGAATGTTAATGCTGCACTTGACGTTCTCTGACTACACACCAGTAGCGTTCGTTTGATGTACATATAGGACGCGTGTCCGCTTGCTTGTGGCTTTATATTTTATGCAGGACTAAGTTGGACAACGTTTTCAGATAAAAAGTGTTTGAGGACAGAGAGAGAGTTGGTGGGCATAGTTGACGCCCTCACTCGCGCACTGATGGAAGCGCCCGATAGTACCGGTACTTTTGGCGCCATTTTTTTTCTGCTACCACCCTCGGGATATTATTTCGTTTGATTGCGGCAAGGCACTGAAGTAATAAAAGTGAAAGGTCTGCGACCTGGTATTTACTTCAAGTAAAATATTGTCATTCCTTTTGCTTCGAGAGTCGCGAAGCCACCCTCTAAATAATCATGTTTCTTTTCTTTACACACGGAAAACCTAAACAGCCAACTACCCCGGGCAGCCAAGCCCCGAAGCTGCTCGTACATGAGGTATGCTTGGTGTATGAACATCACGGGGCAACCGAGCATGGTCCAACAAGACAAGTACAAAAACAATGTTGACGGTGAACATGGACGACCCAGCTTAACAAACCAGAGGGCGTGCTTGTCTTGGTGCAATTATCTCTTCATCGTCGGTGTGGTTTGTATCTTTCTTTCTTTTTTTTTTTTTTGCACGCGCCGTTCCCAACGTTTCCGTAGCCAAAGATGCCCATGTTCAGATGATGGGGCGAATAAATACCACCGCAGAACAACGACAACTCGTCCCCGCACTGAATCGTCGGCTTGAGGATTGTGGTGCTTGTTTGTTGGGGGGCGACTTAATACTACATACAGCAGTAGGGGGCCTGTTTCGTGCCGGTTGAATACTACTGTGTAGTGCTCGGTATATTCGGCTGGCACAGGCTTAATCAAGCAACGTGTACGATGAGTAGTGCTGGCGGTGTACGGTATGAAGAGACGGTGAATTATCTGGGCACATGCCGGCACTGAAGAGGC